TCATTGTTACGATGGGCAAATATGTGAGCTCAATTCAAGTCCATTCTTCTGCAACCCCCTCTAGACCCGGACTCGAAATTGACCTTACTGATGTGTTCTCAGATCGAGCTGGCTAGTCGGACCGCCTACAGGGTCGTTCTCGGAAGCGGGGTGCTGTCGCTGGCGATGCACCTGGCGGCTCGGTATCCATCGTACTTGCGATTGATCCGTCCGTATGCTCTCATTAGCGGCGCGCTGGTCTCATACCTACTTTCATCGAGACCATATCGGTTCTCAAGGCCCAGCCACTTCTGCCTCATGCTCTGTATTTACTACACAGTGTGTCTATTGGCAACATTCCTTGCCAGCGTTTCAAGCATGCCCTTGGTACGTGCTCAGTAGTCCTCCTTGAACGCGCGCTGAACAATACTAGGCCGCGCTTTCTGGTGCCGAGACCCTCTCATGGGTAATTCTCGAAACCTACTTATGCCAACGCGACCACACGAGTTGATAAACCTTCCAAGTTTGTTGCGGCGTCTCGAAGGCCATGCGGGCTTTGGTTTCGAGATCCGAATTCCAACTTGTTTCCTCATCGCCAAAAAGCACGGCATTGGAGTAGCACTAGTATGCCGACAGGCCTATGGACATGCTAGTCCAAGCGTATGTGAGAAGTAAGATCCTTGGAAGCTTCTATGCCACTCTGGGCTGCTTTGCTGTCTCTGAGTAGCATCCTATCCGTATGTATCACACCTGGTCTCCTTCAAGTTGAGCGGGACGGGCTCGACTCGATCACATCGTAGAATTGATCGCTAGGATCGACAAGTCCAGAAGGGTGCTTCGCTTCGGCAATAGATGGTAGTTCGAGGGGAACGCCTGTGTAGTCGCCGTGCTTGTCGTCGGGCCGAGCTTCTTCCGAGTCAATTCTTCTTCTTTGTCCTACCAGGCAACGGAATTCGTCATCACACCCTCCCATAAGGCTGCGATCCATTGGATGACAGTCTTGGATACGGATCACTGCCCCAACAGAATGGGGGATTGAATGTGTTCCGCGATCCCAAGTTCGGCGTGCAGCCTTTGCCTCCGATAGCAAACTCAAAAATGTCATCGAACATAATGCTCAACCGCCGGCCCTGTTGATATCGTACATAGACGTCAGGCTTCAATTCGTTTGCGTTCTTGCTAGCCATTTCCACTTCGTTTTGTGGTGAGCCGACTGTCGGTGAAAAGCCATGAGTCGAGGAGTCATGGGAGCCGGCTTGCTGGTGAATTGGCCGGGGATCCCGTCACCCGTCCCAATCGCCGCCACGCCCATCTCGTCGAATCCCCAAGGGATCAAATCTACTCTGCCTAGAACCTCCATCTCTATAGTCGGAGTTGATTCGAGTGAGACACTGATCTATGCTTTTCAGGTATATGACATAACTGGACGCCAGGCTGAAGTAAGGTGTAGCCTTTGTCAGTGCCTGGTAAGTAGTGGTGGTTGGCTGCCAGTTGTCGGACATCGGTCTCGAATTCCGCCTTCCGACTTCCTGCTCACTGAACATGTGATTCTGAGTATCCATATGGGGATAGTGCGCTGCGTATATCTCGACAAAGGCTGCTTGCCTGATGGCGAATAAGACCAACGACAAATAGGGCAGTCTGTCCCGACATAACGTGATAAGGTCGATGATTTCCCTACCAGCCTTGAAGATCTGCTCTGCGCTTCGCTTCCAATGGCCATCGGGAGCAGCGCCGGGGTCAAATCCGAGCTCCGCCATCGGGCCCATCGGCCTGGCGCAGTTGATGGCGATAAAGGGGATATATTCGCGATGCAGCACGATTCTGCAGAGAGCAGCCAGCATATGAAATGACACGTATATGCTGTTAGAGTGTCTCCAGAAGTTCGAGGTGGACCATGTGAAGCATTCCGGAAGTCCTGTGTAGAAGGTGTCTATCTCCTGACTGAGCTGGTAGAAGGTCGACTTTTCGTTCCATGGCGGCGTACCTTCTTCCTTTTCAGTATCGCGTCCGCCCAAAAGGCTGTATCTGGAGATGTCGCCCCAGATTTTGATCAGGTCGACGAATCGGCCGAGAACGCTATCTTCGAATTCTTCCTCGATTCCTTGTCCCACAGGCCGCGGTGTTCGAATGAGAATGCCGCCACCCAAGTTGAAGGCTTCGTCACTGCACGGCAGCTGCTTTGGAAGGTCGTGAGCTTGAATAGCGGGTACTCGGCCAGATGCGCAACATACAAGCTGACAGAGGATCAAGCAACTGAACATAGTGCGGCGCCTCGACTCCTGGTCTTGCCAACAACGCGAGGGCACTTGTGCAGATCCGAGTTTCATGATTTGAGCCATCCGCGTGGCGAGGTCAACGTACATCCATGCAGCCAGGCCGCCATTCGGCCGACTCCATTTATACAAGCCCAGCATGAGAAAAGCTTGGACTCGAACGACAGTAGCCGATGTTATGGCTGATTCGACTTCTCCCAGTGCCTTTGTAAGAGCATTTGCGAAGTACTCTGATGCTACTGATGGCTGCAGCCTGGGTAGAGCACCGCAAAACCTTGGGCCCGCGATCTTGTGGTGTGTAATGTGTGCGACATGTTCGATCAAGTCGGGACGAAATCTTGCAGTGAGAGCCAGAATGCCCAATAGGGTCAGATTCGATTCGTTTGACGGCTTCTCGTTGTCTTTGTCGTGAATGATGCCCTAGAGAGTTGGGAGATGCAAAAACGAGAGTTCGGTGGCGAAGTGCAATTGATAGAGGTCAAAGAGTTGGTGCCAAACGTCAACAGTGAGATAGGGTGCCGAAATAATATTCTGATCAAACTCAGTGACT